TCTCAAATATCTAAATTTCGATACAAGAATTCATTGCTATGATTAATAACAAATTGCAAACTTAAAAAACCAAATTTTATATATTTTTATTTTATTTTCTAATAAGTTCGTTGAAGATTAAAAGAAAATACGAATAGAGAGAGATAAAAAATAAAGTTATATTTGTCATAAATAATATAATTTATTCAACTAAAAGGGATAATGTTTTTCAAAATATAAAAAGTATCATCTACGGGTAATGTGGATGAAACTACATATCCATATGAAATATATCTCAAAAATATTGAATAACGTTTACTTGAAAAAATATATATCTGAATTTAGGTTCTATTTACCAATATCAATTAAGAATATGAAAAAAATTGAAACTAAAGAAAGAAAGAATAAGAGAACTTAGAATTCAAACACGACATTAAATTTTGATTGTATTTATGGTAAAAATTACATAGATATTTAAGAACTGATATATATTAAAAAAAAAAAGTTGCTAACATCCAAGTAGAGAGAGAGTTACAGAATTTCATAGAGATGGAACTCATTCTTTTAATTGTTAAGTTTAAAGAGAATTCATATTAATTTTGGTCTGACTGGAGGTGACCAAAAAATGCAAAGTTTGTTCAATTTTGTTTATTTTTAGTTGGTATAATTTTATTTTATTTTGTCAAAACATTCAATAGGTCGTCTAAACATATGTACATAAATTTTGCCATCCTTTTAATTTCTTTAGTGGTCTATAATTATACAACTATAATTACTGAAAAAGAGTATAACGAGTTAATTTATTGTTAATTTATTATTGTATATCAATATTGTTTTTGTAAGAGTGATGGGAATATATTGTCTTTTATCAAAATATTACAATAAACAAAGTTTAGAACGACATACTACAAACGCAACAACTATGTTATTTTTAATCATATATCACAAGTGTTAGTTTTATTTCTTATTGTTTCAGAGCTATATATTATAATTTAAATATTTTATTTTTATTGTTTTGCAAGAATTCTATCAATGTGTATTTAATAAGTTAAATTATGGTTCTCATAAATTTAATGCAAAATAAGTGTTGTCTATTATATAAGCATTGACGGTGATCATCTTGATTGTTACCTTATGACTTAAAATTATAAATAAACAAATATCTTGAAAATATACTCTAAAATAATAATTTGATATATATAGACATTTATAATTTTTATTTTTTACTTTTAGATGGACATTTACTGTCACGGCGTGTACAAAATAGAAAATAGATGTTGACTGTGAAAATATATTTTAATCATTTACTGTCATCGGAATTTGGGTTTATTTACGGACAAAAAAATAGACTAATATTGCATAATAATATCGTGAAAGATAAAAAAAAATCTGAAAATGATTAAAAAAAAAAAGAATGAGAGGATTTCAACATAAGCGATAAAGAGTGACAATATGATTTGACTGTGAAGACTGAATAAGAAAATATATGTTTATCATCCATTTATTTAGTGGAATTTTGTTATATATGAGGTCTTTTATATTGGTTTTGGTCTTTTATGTATGAGAAGAAGGAAGTAGTTTGAGCCCAAAATACATATTTTGTTTAATTATGCAACTATAATTTTTTATGAATCTAAATAACATAATTTGTTAATTATTGTTATTTTTTTTATTATAACACTTTTTCTTTTCTTAAGAGAATGACAAGAATATATTAATACTACCAAAACGTTGCAATACACAAAGTATAATGCATCAACTACTTCATTCTTATCATACATAATAAATGTTTGTTTTATCAAAATAAATTTTAATATTTTATAATTTATATAATATAATATAAATGTATCTTTATTATTAATGTATATTTTAAAAAATTATATGAAATTACATTTAGTATAAGTTACATGCAAAATATAAGAAATTTGTTATTGACATGAATATTGACGATTACTATGTCTTTTTGTAACTTTACAAAAAAGTGATATATCTTGCACGTCATTTCGATCCAGAAATTCTATGGCGCCCATATGGGCACCATATGGTGCCATAATCTCACGATCCAACGCCTAATATCCATTCTATCAATTCCACAATGAATATTAGGCGTTAGATCCAGAAGATTATGGTACCATATGGTGCCCATATGGGCGCCATAGAATTTCTGCATTTCGATCACCATCGGGCTTATTTTGCAAACAATTGAATTATTGAATTTATTTTTCTATTTAGAAAAAGTGAAAAATATGTGGATCAAAATTGAGTCTTTTTGTGTATTTTTTTTCTTAGGTATTTAATACATTTTTTAATTTGATTGGATGAAATTTGTGCATTTTTATTTGAATTACTATGTATCACTTTATTAATAGAATAGAAATAATGACTTTATGTACTCATAAATGATGAAAATTATGTTATGGCGAGATATTTTTAGAAAAAGTTTCAAAAAGTATCATCAATGTGACAAATACATTTATTCGTCAAATATCACTAATATTCTTTTAATTTAAATTTATTTAATTTGAAAATTTTGTGAAAAGAAATGGTATTGTATAGTCACAATCAGTTATATGTTGTTGTTTCTAGAGTCACAGATCCCTATTGTTTGATGATTATTATCTATGATGATAATGGGGATAATGAATATAATTCGTCAACTATTAATATTATACTTAGATAAATATTTTAAAATATAATAAATATGTTTTCATCAACTAATATCATATTTAGAAAAATATTTTAAAATATAATAAATAATATTTTCATCAACGTCATTTTTAACATCAAGCTGCACAACGCGCGGGGCACGTACTAATCCACAGATAAAATGAGTTAGCTAATTTTAGGATAAGGTAATACGTTTTTTCTTTTTTTTTGGATAAGATAAAATGGTTGGGAGCAGGGATTTCCAACGCTTGATCTAATTGCTGCATGGAGTTGTCTTTTAGTATCGGTTTTTCAACCCCTACGACTTATTATCTGCTTGGAGTTGTCTTTTAATTTCGGTTTTTCAACCCCTACGGCCTATTATCTGCATAGAGTTGTCTTTTAATTTCGGTTTTTAACTCCTACGGCCTATTATCGATGTTTTCTTGAAACTTGAGAAGATAAACGCATGCACTAGGATTTAGTAACATATTTTTTATATCATTATCAAAATATTATATAGTATAAATTGGCCTAACACAATTTTTTTACTCATTTACTATTCACTGTCCTTATTACTACTCATCGCCTCCCCCCAATTACGTTTTTGCCCTTCACACTCTCTCTACTTTTTCCCTCTCGATTTTCTACAGCTTTTTCGACCGTCAAAAAAATTTTGAAAAAATGCCAAAAAAATACTATGACATCGGCAAGACATTGAAAATTGACCATGTATTTTTTTTTTAATTTTTATTTTTATTTTTTTCGCGCGTCCAAAAGACGTCCAACCGGCGAGGTCGGACGCGCCAAAGGGTGTCCTACCGGCAAAGTAGGACGCATTTTGTCGGGTCCGGCCTCGCGGGTAGGACGCCCTTTGGCGCGTCCGGCCTTGTCGGTTGGACGCCTTTTGACGCGTATTATCGAGCCGATTGGACGAGCGAAAAAAATAAAAAATAAAAATTAAAACAATACATGATCAATCTTCAATGTCTTGTTGATGTCATGGTAAAGAGCCGTAGAAAATCGAGAGGGAAAGAGTAGAGAGAGAGTCTGAAGGGCAAAAACGTAATTGAGCTGTGAGTAGTAATTGGGAGCGGTAAATAGTAATGACCTTTTTTTAATAAGAATATTTTCACATTGGGTGCAAGTACTCTATAGAAAGATTTTAAGTGAAAGCAGTCGATATCTTGCGATATAGTATTCTAATAATGCAACAAAAAAAAAGTAAAGAAATAAAAAAAATTCTTGTTCATAATCATTCTACATAATTACATTCCATAATTTTGACAAACCGTTCACAACTTTCCTTTGGATTTTAAACTATACACTAGTAGTACATCAGTCTACTATATGACATTTAAATGAAATATTTAAATAAAAAAGTTTAAGAATATAAATTAAAAATTTAATTTAATATTTTAAATTTACGTTATTATTTTTGTTAAAAAATAATATCATGTGGCTGAATTTGGTGGTAAAATACCGTTTTAAAAAAACATTGCCCCTGAAAGTTAAAAGTTTTTTGATCCAACGTTTGCTTCAGCTTACAAACCCATTTAAAACAAGTGTTTGGAAAAATTTAACAAATCAGTTCTATAAAAATATATGTCTTAACACAAAAATATTGGCCACATGGACACATTTTTTACTCCAAAAACAAACGCACATAATTTGTTTTGGAAAACTCACCAATATAAAAGTTGAATTCAATACACATAATAAAGAAATAAATTAATTCATATCTATATATCTATATATATAAAAGTTTGTATTTATTTAAATAATAATTGAAATACCACATAAAATTTTCATTTTTACCTTTATTAGTAATTTTTTTTAAAAAAAAATTAAAAGTGGTGGTCAATTTTTTGAAATTCAAATTAAAAATATCAATATAATTAATGTTTTGGTCAAATATTGCGGCTATTACCTATATTACTTGTTTTATTTGATATCTATCTATATATATATATATAGGGATGCCTCCACTGAAAATGGTTATCAAAGAAAGAAATAAGAATGGATCTTAGTCATCCAAACTGATAATCTAATGAACAGAAAAAAAATAAAATTTTAATCTCATTAAGGATAATTTAGACACTATACAATACTCAACTACCCACCCACACCACACATGCCCCACCCCACTCTCTCTCTCAATCGCACACACGCACAACAAAACACAATTTTCATACACACACACATAACAATACGCAAAACACCACAACTCCACTGTCGCTGTTGTTGTCCCGCCGGAAGCTCCACGTTCCGCCGTGAAATTGGTGCACTGTTAGCCCCGCCGCCGCCGCCATACTTCTCTCACCGCCGCTGCATCGAAAAATTACACAGCCTCACAAAATTCTGGCCGCCGTGAATTAGCCGTGGAGGACCTCGTCGGCCACGTCCGTCAGTCCTCTCACAATCATCTTCCATGAACTGCTAATGGCGGATCTATGTACATGCTAGGGGGGGTCATTAGAAAAATACATGATCAATCTTCAATGTCTTGCTGATGTCATAGTAAAGAGCCGTAGAAAATCGAGAGGGAAAGAGTAGAGAGAGAGTCTGAAGGGCAAAAACGTAATTGAGCTGTGAGTAGTAATTGGGAGCGGTAAATAGTAATGACCTTTTTTTAATAAGAATATTTTCACATTGGGTGCAAGTACTCTATAGAAAGATTTTAGGTGAAAGCAGTCGATATCTTGCGATATAGTATCCTAATAATGCAACACAAAAAAAGTAAAGAAATAAAAAAAATTCTTGTTCATAATCATTCTACATAATTACATTCCATAATTTTGACAAACCGTTCACAACTTTCCTTTGGATTTTAAACTATACACTAGTATTACATCAGTCTACTATATGACATTTACATGAAATATTTAAATAAAAAAGTTTAAGAATATAAATTAAAAATTTAATTTAATATTTTAAATTTACGTTATTATTTTTGTTAAAAAATAATATCATGTGGCTGAATTTGGTGGTAAAATACCGTTTTAAAAAAACATTGCCCCTGAAAGTTAAAAGTTTTTTGATCCAACGTTTGGTTCAGCTTACAAACCCATTTAAAACAAGTGTTTGGAAAAATTTAACAAATCAGTTCTATAAAAATATATGTCTTAACACAAAAATATTGGCCACATGGACACATTTTTTACTCCAAAAACAAACGGAAATAATTTTTTTTGGAAAACTCACCAATATAAAAGTTGAATTCAATACACATACTAAAGAAATAAATTAATTCATATCTATATATCTATATATATAAAGGTTTGTATTTATTTAAATAATAATTGAAATACCACATAAAATTTTCATTTTTACCTTTATTAGTAATTTTTTTTAAAAAAAATTAAAAGTGGTGGTCAATTTTTTGAAATTCAAATTAAAAATATCAATATAATTAATGTTTTGGTCAAATATTGCGGCTATTACCTATATTACTTGGTTTATTTGATATCTATCTATATATATATATATATATAGGGATGCCTCCACTGAAAATGGTTATCAAAGAAAGAAATAAGAATGGATCTTAGTCATCCAAACTGATAATCTAATGAACAGAAAAAAAATAAAATTTTAATCTCATTAAAGATAATTTAGACACTATACAATACTCAACTACCCACCCACACCACACATGCCCCACCCCACTCTCTCTCTCAATCGCACACATGCACAACAAAACACAATTTTCATACACACACACACATAACAATACGCAAAACACCACAACTCCACTGTCGCTGTTGTTGCCCCGCCGGAAGCTCCACGTTCCGCCGTGAAATTGGTGCACTGTTAGCCCCGCCGCCGCCGCCGCCGCCATACTTCTCTCACCGCCGCTGCATCGAAAAATTACACAGCCTCACAAAATTCTGGCCGCCGTGAATTAGCCATGGAGGACCTCGTCGGCCACGTCCGTCAGTCCTCTCACAATCATCTTCCATGAACAGCTAATGGCGGATCTATGTACATGCTGGGGGGGGTCATTAGAAAAATACATGATCAATCTTCAATGTCTTGCTGATNACACCTATATCATATATACATATATGATAAGTATATCATTTTTTTACATAAACTCATACAATTATATTATAATTGTATTACTTTTTCTACTAATAATTCAACTACAATTATAGTCTTCTTACACTTTTGCATAATATTTTTTCTAATTTAAATAAATTGAATGTATGATATATATGTGAAAACACAAAATTTAGTAAATTTTCAAAAAGAACACCATATAAGACATGTTTAATGGAAAGAAAAAATATCAAAACTATTAGTAGTGAGTCAATCATTAATGACATTAAAAAAAAGACGTTCAATCGAAATTTGTTATTGCTAAAATTTGAAACTTTATAATTTATGTTGCACTATTTTTATATATTTATTTTATAATAAAACTTTCTATTTTTATGTACATTAAATCAAATTTATGATTATTACAATATATGTTGTCCCCCTAAAAAAAAAATTCTGGATCCGCCTCTGTGAACGGCCACCAGACACCGCCCGTCTCCGTCCTCCTCCTCCCTCTCCATGGGCGGCCCAATTTCAGCCTTTTTGCTCGTCTGTAATTCCGGCGAAATTCAGACGGATCTCCACTCATCCGGCAGTTCGTACACCCTCACTCACACCGTCGTCGTCGTCGATTGTGCGTGCATCGGCGAGGGCTGATTGCTCACCGGTCATAACCTCTGTTGGAAATTGATGGCGGGGTTCGGGGGTTGTGGTCACGACCGGAAAAATTCCACGAAGGGACGTTGGAAGTGGCCGAGCGAGATGTTCCGACGATAGCTGGTGTCTGCGCGATGATTCGAGCCGCCGCCGGTGATGAACATAGACCGACGAAAAGGGCTGAGGGTGGGTGACGGGAATTTTTCATTTAAGATTGTGGGGGTTTCATTTTGAAAATTTGATAAATCATGAGGATCTAATTGTAATTTCAAGACTTTTAATATATTGCAATTTAACTTGTGGGTCAAATATATAATTTATTATAAATTTAATAAATACACATTGCTGATAAGTAAAATGCACAATATGTGTAAGAATATGCATAATAAAAATACATGTATTATATAAATGCACATTAGTGATGGTCAAAATACACATTAATTTGTGTGATAATGCACAATACCGTAATGAATGTATTCAAACCGAATGTTTATATGACTATACATATATATATGTTCTTTGACTTTTAAAATTTCAGTTATTTTGATTAGATTTTTTGTCACTATTTTTAATTAAATTATTTAGGTTCGATGTCGAATTTATATTTTTATATACAAAATTGTTCATTTCAGCAAAAAATAAAATATAAAATATAAAATATAAGTTATAGATATCAACAATACTAAATATATATTTTTTTTATTTCGGTTATTATGATTAATTCGGTTAACCTACCAAATAAACATATTATTTTGGTTCAATTTTACGTTTTTTTTTTTTCGAAACGATAGAAATTTTATAAAAGTCAAAACCACATAAATACAACTAGAAATCAGCTAGAATAGCCAAGCAGCCAAACAGTTGAATCCATGAGGCCTACAAAGGTAGCCTAGAAGCAACTAGGCTAACTCACCCACAAACATATAACAACCAACACCTATAACAAAACACCAACACACAAAGATAACTAGAATAAGGCCCTTCCCATAGCAGGGAATCCAAACCAAACAAAATCGACGCCGACACCACGGGCAACAACCCACATGAACGGAAACCCGGTCTAAGCCGTGAAGCCAGAAAATGCAAAAACAATGCCTAACTAGAATTGAGACTACAAACCTTGCCCTGTTCGGATAGCCAACCCCTAGACCCGCAACCGGAGATCTACAAAACAAGCTCCACCATCCCAACCCCTACGACCCAGGCCCAGGACACACGATCCGGCCTCGACTCAACTCTGCCGATACAACCAAAAGGCCCAAAAGCAGAGAAATTAGGAGAAGAAAGGAAAGCGAAACGGCCCGATCTCAGCCCGACCACCACCAGAAGAGAAGATCGACGCTACAGCCCTTAGTCGCATGCTCGCGGGAAAACTCGCCACTACTCAGACACCGGGGAAACGCCGATCAAATACCCTCCGTGGCGACCAGAAAGGAGGCGAAAACCAGATTGGGCGACCCGCAGCCTCATCAGGGAAGAGGAATCCGACAGTCCGACGAGCTTGCGAGAGCCGGGCGTACGGCCCGGTGAAGGCCGCCGCCGAGATGGCCTGAAAGGGACATGCTATGGAAAGGCGAGTTGTTTGGCGAAAAAGGGTGTGGTTGATTTGGGGATTTTCTGATTTTTCTTCAAGGAGAGAGAAAATGTTTTACGACAATAGTTGTGACTTATAAAAAAAAAAGTTCAATTTTACGTTCATTTGATACAAATTTAATAAGTGTGCAATTTCTACATTATGTTGTTTATAATGTATAATACACAACAATGTTAGACAATATACGCAATAGTGTATATGAAATTACACTTTAGCATAGCGTTAGTGACTAAGGTAATTTGTGTTAATCTGTATGAATAGGCACATTAAACTTGTACCAGGTAATTTAGTTTCAATTTGGTTTTGAACTAAACTTCAGTCCAGTCAAACTGCACAATAGTGGCTGAAACAATGCACAATATAGTTATACGAATTACACATTAACAACCGACATACTGCACATTATCGACCAAAATTGACCGAACTAAAATTTTCAGTCCGAGTGTTTATAATTGGAACAATATATGTTTTTTAGTTCTAAAATTTCAGGTAATTATATTCGATTATATGTTATTACTTTCAATTAAATTGCTTAAATTCAATGCCGTATTTATATTTTTATATAAAAATTTATTCATTCCAGCAAACTATATATATACATATCAAATATAAATTATACATACAAAAAATATTAAATATATTTTATAATATAAAAAATATTTTATTTTAGTTATTTTGGTTGATTCGGTCAACCAACCGAATAAATCAAATATGTTGGTTCAATTTTAATTGGTTTGACAAAAGTTCAATCAATTTAGACTACACAATAGTGACCGAAACCGTGCACAATATGGTTAAATTAGTTGCATATTAATACTTTTGGTACATGAATGTGAAGAGAGACATCAATGTCCAGAATCCAAACTTGAATTTTAACAAATCATGGCTATACGAAACATGACAACTAATTAATATATATTCGATTATATATTAATTAACATAACACGGAGGCAATTGTGATTTATATAAAAAAAAAATGTATTCATTTTAGCAAACAATAATAATAATAATAATAATAATAATAATAATAATAATAATAGATATTAAAAATATTAAATGTATTTTTATAAAATAAATTATATTTTATTTTAGTTATTTGGTTATTTCGATTAACCAACTTAATAAACCAAATATGTCGGTTCAATTTTGATTGGATTAAGACAAAAGTTCAATCAATTCAGGCTGCACAATAGCGATCGAAATCGTGCACATTATAGGTAGACGAATTACACATTTTGATAGTTTTTTAAAATTTTATTGTGCATATACATTGACTCTTTTGTGCACTTTATTTATGTTATTGTGCATTTATTATTCTTTGTAATATGTACCTAACCAATGAACTACAGTGTAATACATTTAAAATTCTTAAAAATTGCATATAAGTCCTTGCACCTTATCTAATTTACAAAATTTAGCCTCAGCCCCAATTCAGCAGCCCCAAACACCATCTCTCTCGACCACATTTCGAATTGATTCATCAGCCCCGCCGGACCACCGTGCAGATGCTCGTCTTCACCTCGTCCGGCATGATTCTGACACCATAACCGGCGAAAACATCACAAACTCCCTCAATTAAAAGCCTTGGTTGGTGCTGCCGAAAGGGTGACCCGCCGCCCGCCTGCTCCGCAACCAAAATCTACCCTCGAAAGTCATATTACCGTTGTATTTGAAGGACGTGAGGTTTTTTAACCTTCAGATGTTCCTTGGGATCTCGCCGAGGAACCACCTGCCAGATCCGTGACCGGCGCTCGAGGTTGGGATACCGCCTTCGAGCAAGATGATGAGGTCGTACTTCGAGACATACAGTGACGACGGCGGATATATGGTGGGAGACGGCTGAGGTCGGCAATGGCGAGTTTTGTGGTGAACCGTCTGTGGATCTGTGATGGTTGTGGCGGACTTGGTTGGGGGATGGCGGCGGCGGCGAACTGTGGCGACAGTATCGACTAATCGGCTGGGCTCTTGGCGGTCGCCGGCGGTTGGCGGAGGAGGACTGTTGATGGAGGTGGTTGCGGCTGTCGGTCATCGGCGGGGTCATGGTGGTCCGTTCATCTAGTGTGTGTGTGTGTGAATTGTGCGTGAGTGGTGTAATTTGTTTGTGTGTATTTTAATGTAGAGATGGTGTGGTGCCCACCATGAGAGAAGAAGAACCAGGTGGGGTGGGATGGGGTGGGGCCCGGGGGCCCGTAGGTGGTGGATCATGGTTGTGTTGGAATGTGTAATGACTAGTTTATCCCTTAATTAATAGTCAAATGTATTTTTTGACCATTTTATGTGTATTTATTTAATATAATGCAATTAATGATTAACTATTATTTATTAATTTTTGACTTGATCATGGTTATTGATATGATGCATCTAATGATCCTGATTCATTCTCATTCATTTCATTGTACTCCTTTCTCATTTGAGAGAGAGTTAAGATCATATGAGAATGATAGATAGTGAAAAAAATGATAATAAATCTGTACTATTAGATCCAACATATCAATGGTCATGATCAGGTCAAAATTTAAATATTTTAGTCAACCTTGTTGTGGTAATTTTGTAATTAAATATAAATTTTGTGGTCAAATATACACGTTTGATCAATAATTAAGGGCAATATGGACTACACTTTTATAACACATAGCAGTGGGCCCCACATGCACACAAATATCAATACTCTCTCTCCCTATATCTATTCGTCTCTTCCGCTCTCGCTCGCCTCTCTCTTCCGCTCTCGCACACCGTCGCACAAATCTCACGGCGGCGATTTCTGGCGGAACACACACTCCACGGCAGCAAAACGGCTTTTGTACACCGTCGATGTCATCATCTCCATGGCGTCACGACCTCCGCCACCGAGCCCAGCGCCGCCGACGAACCAGTTTTCCGGAGATTTCTCCCGCCTCCGGCTGTCGTCACCAGCGTCCGCCTGTGCCACGCCATCGCAGTCGCCAGCATGTCTACATTTCTCTCCTTCGCCACTCATCTCCTCCGCGGACTGAAACGAGATTTCAAGAAAAAAAAAAAAAAAGCAA